GTCCTTGCTCCTAGTAGCGATGCCAGGAGCCCCTAGTAGCGTCCTTGTTCCCCTATTAGACGTTTCTTCAATTTCTTTTTCTTTGTTTCTAATGGCCATGGCCTCCAACTACTAGGAATGGCCTCCAACCTAGTAGTGATGGCCTCCAATCTAATAGGTTTGTTGCGATGGTATCCCAACTTTCTTGTTGTCTGGGACGCTTGCAATCGTCAAATGGTTCTGCTTCGTCCAATAGCAACACATGCCGCCTCACCAACACACAAGCATTGCAAGCATGTTGCAGTCTCCAAGAAACGGTGAAGACCAAACATGATAAAGTGACCAGCATGATGAAATATACATTTTCTTGTAGCGCGAGCAGGCGAATTCTGCATTCTCTGCAGCAATGCCAACTCGCCCGCACTCATATCACCAACGCTCAGCAAGGGTTTAGAGGTTCCGCTGGGGGAGCTTGGATACCGTATGGTCCGCCAACTATTTACAGCTTGAAGAATAAAGTCGAATAGTTGCTGCCCTTTTTCCTGAATCTGTGGTCGCTTGGAGGTGGTGGCAGAATGGGTGAACGAGAAAACGATGACAGCGATGCGATAGAAGTCGAAGAAGAGTGCTACTAGTAGCTTCTTGTTACTAGTAGCCATGGCCTCCAACCAACTAGCGATGGCCTCCAACTAGAAGCGATAGCCTCCAAACTACTAGCGATGGCCTCCAACTAGTAGCGATGGCCTCCAACCTAGTAAAACCTCTTGTGCAGGTAAGAATGGTAAGACGTGCTTTGATCGTGATCTTTGCCGTTTGATAATACGTTTACGTGCCCGGACATCTATGGATCATCCTTGCATATCCTTGCAGTCTATTCGGCCAGGCTTTGACCGTGTGCCATGCTGAGAAGGAATTCCTGATGAACCGATACTTGGTAAACGTTTACCTTGTGAGGGTTGCATTTTCCAATCTTTCGCTATTAGGTGGAGGCCATCGCTACTAGAAACGAACAAAGAAAGAACTTGTCGCCAGGGCTGAAAACTGCCTTCACCGATGCATCACCGCACCTAGAACCATGCAGAAAAGCAGACCGATAAGCCAAAACACCTTGGGGCCGCAAGCAGTCTGGCAAGTCCCACCCCAAAAAGCACCGTAGGATACACATGGACACACAAAGCAAGCGAACCCTGAAGGAAGGTACTGAGGCTCGGACCAACCAGTTAGACGAATGCGAGCCCTCAAGTCAGAACGAGCTGGATTGGCCCTCGTAGGGATGGCCTCCAACCTACTAGCAATGGCCTCCAACCTAAGAGCGATGGCCTCCAACCTAGTAGCGATGGCATCCAACCTAAGAGCGATGGCCTCCAACCTAGTAGCGATGGCCTCCAACCTAGTAAGAGCCAAACACATGACTAAATTGTGAAGAAACCTTTCCCCAATCGGCCAATATTGACGTGGGGTGCCAATATGGCCGTGATACATGAACACGTCCGCGAACATATTGCAACATGCAACGTCTTCCCAAATTTTCATCACGTCCGCGATCTGAATCTTCGAAGCCAACCTCTGGTTGGCTGAGCAGCCCGCAGGAAAAGTCCTCAAGAACCAAGATTTGATTTGTTGGTGAAACCAAGAAGGTCGTGTCAATCTCCTCGCCAATTGCATTGGCGTTGCCAATCACCTGACAAGTGAAACCTTTTAGGGTCAAACGGATCATTTAAGAACCATGCCTCTGAGAGGGACAATGCCCCTGCGCATTCTGCAGAAAAGCCTGCGAAAAGAGCTGCTCTCACTCAACAAAGCTGCCGACCCTGCTTGAGCATAACAAATGCAACCGAAAAAGGGGCGGGGGCGGCCAGCAAACCACATGTTCACATTCTTTCTGCGTATGAGTCAACAATGAAAACACATGATTGTGGTGAAACGCAGATCCAGTCCACAACGGATGTTCCAGCGATTTTTTGTGGACCTTGTGTTCGGGTGACAGGACGTGTGTTTTCTCTGGAACACTGGAGCTGGCATGTAGAATCAAACAGCACAGATGGCTGCTCAACTGGGAGGATCAGCACAAACGAAAGTGACAGCAACCCCTCAAAACCACTCTCCATTGCCACTGCCTTTCAGCTCTTTTGCCGGTCGCGTTTTCCGCAGTGGCAAGTTGACAAGCCCGCTCACCTCTCAGAGCTGCTTGAAGCCGTGTTGGCCAGAGCCCTCTTTGGGGCCACGCGACGCAAGAACTTACTGTTGTTTTCATTTTTCGGCTGGAAGGCGGCAACTGGCGGAGCCGGCGCTGGCGGTAGCAATGTGTGAAGAGCATGGGCCTCCTGAAGCCAATCCAATTGCAATGCTTTTGTTGCAGATGCACGATCTGTGGTTGCCAGGGTTGCCTCCAACCATGCCAAAAACAATGGCCCAAATGCATCGCTCCCAGGCCATTGGCTCACTTCAGGGTACTTCAAAAAATGAAGGGTTTCAACGGAGGGAGGCATCGTTCCCGTGGCAAGAGCCCAGGCCGTTGTAGCCCCTGCCCAAATGTCAGCTGATGCAGCAGGCGCTTCGCCAGCGATGAGCTCTGGAGCCCAAAATGCAAGGGTTCCTGCTGGTGGCACGTGGCTGCAGAAGAAAAGCCACAGCTGCACCCGAAGTCTGAAAGGCGGACCTTCCAGGAAGCAACGGCCCCAGCCCATGCCTTGACCAAGCAGCTGGCCGGCTTGTGTAAAAGCCGCATCAGGTGAACATGCTGCAATGCGCGAAACAGTTGGCACACCAAACAAGCGGCGTCAGTCTCCCCGAAGCTTCTGCCTTGCAAGCTTCCTGAGCACCGCTCCATAAAGATGAAAGTCTCATTTTTGATAACGCAATGGCCGTAAAAGGGTATGATTACATCACCGCCCAAGCCTTGCAACGAGGCATCTGCCTTTGTCCTTTTGACTACATGCCCATCGCTGGTGCCAACTTGGTACACCTTGCCGAACCGCCCCTCGCCCAGCAGCATGGTGCAAGGTACAGCGCCCTGGGCCTGATACATGACGAACTCTGCTTCTTCAGCAGGGCCCTTGGCATCCATTCCGCACAAAGCCCAATGAAGCCCAACTGCCACTGCAGCAGCCGGCGCTAAAGCAGCAGCTGCCCATGGGGCCCATGGCGCCAAGGCAGCAGCACAGCCTGCTATGCCAGCGCCAGCCGTCAGGCTAGCTCCAGCCGCTGCTGCGCCGCTGGCGGTCGCTGCAGTGCCCACGGCAGCAGTCTGGGCTTTGAGGGTTCCTGCAGCTCCAACAGTCAGCGCGTATGAGTACGAAGTGCCACCAGCAAAAGCACACTCCATGGCTGCTGTGAACTGTTTCGCAGAGTCTAAATATCAAACACCTCCAAAAGATGGCCCCAGACTGATGGGTCTGACTCCAGTGACAGCTTCACCAAAAAAGTGTACAGTTCGCCATATTTCACTTGGAACACACAGCAATCTTGGTGGCATTGCCACAAGCGCATTCAGCTCAATACTTTCGGATTGCGAGACCAGAGTCTTTGAGAGCTTCTGTCTGCTTGAAATATGCAGAGACATCCTGCCCATACCTGATCTTCATCAGTTGAATGGATCTGGATCAACATATCCCCCAGAATACCCTAGGTTTTTCAACTATTGTTGCCTGTGGTAGTTGGACTAAATGGGGCCAACACGAGGCTACAAAGCAGCCTTTGTCAGAGTGGCCGACAAATAAGCTTCTGACCATTCAATGGGTGAACATGAAGGAATCAGGATTCAGGAGGACACCGAGTTACAATTCATCGTCTAATGTCGTCTTCAATGGAAACATGTATCCTTTGGCCGAGCTGGCTCACATGAGTCTCGAAAAGAAGAGTGTACGAGATTGACGTGCCGGATGATTTGAAGACAACCCTATCTATGTACAAGCTATTACAAGGTACACAGAACTTAGGTTATTTTTAATCCCCTATTGCGATTACTTGTTCGGCATGAAAGTGGAATACTAGTGATGATTTGAGGTGTAAATGATGTGGGTATCTGGGGTGATTGTGTTGCGACGTGATGCCTGGTTCCATGTGGTGAACTGCGCTGTGCTGTATGGCGAATGTCGTGCTTCAGTGCTGTGTGGGTGATACGTTGTCCGGGTGTGTTGATGTAGGGTCAAGTGCCTTGTGATTTGTGACCTGGTGAAAAGTCAACCGCTCCAGAATGATCTGCAATTGGTGGGCATGGCTCTATATATCTGGTGCAACCTAAGAGCGATGGCCTCCAACCTACCAATGGTTTGAGGTGGATGGTAAAGCAACAACTCCGCAGCAAACAGATCGTTGAAGATCGGTTCGACGTCTGGGAATCGAATTACACCTGACGGATCCTATGTTACTAGTAGTAAGGCCAGGAGCCCCTAGTAGCTTCTTGTTACTACTAGTAAGG